TTTGTTCAGTACAGCAGCGCCATATCCCTAAGGGACAAGCTCCTCACATCAAGAATACTGCCAGTTCAAACAGCATGAGAAAAAAATAGCTATTTTTCCTATATAAGTAAGAAAAAGATCACCAAACTTTGTTTACATCCCTACTGGAAACAGAGTATATGTGCAACCAGCTAGTAAGAAGCTAACCTCTATTATTTATATAAAATAATACACACATACACAAGCCATTAGTGGAAGTTTTGAGGGTTATTTTTTCTCAGAAACACGAACTAAGCCTGAGTGTCCTAAAGAACAGTACACATTCTTTAAAAAGCTGGCAGCAGCTTTGGCTCAAGATGTCGTCTTGTATATAAGTACGTAAAACTTGCATTCTAAGATTAAACTATCCCTGGAGAATCAATAATCTTACAAGATCACCCTCATTTCCTTAATACAACTTAATGGTCTTATGAACATGCAGAGGGATCTTCCACCAATGAGACAAAAAGAGAGGTCTGAGTTCTAGGCATGTCTTTCTGACTCAATTTATGTCACAGAAAAACTCACCACACTATCACTTGTCTCTGGAACCGATACGGCCTTCACCAACAGTTCTGTGCCCGTTGTCTGTCAAAAAGAATCAGGAAAACAAGGATCAGAAGAGTTTTTAAGAGCCTGTCTAACTGCATACCAACTATTCATTGGATTGAGGCAATTCTTGTGAATCATTACAATTCCATCAAACATATTCTGTTGGGAAGTCAACAACACTCCTCAAAGCTCTGATAACATACTTTTACTTACATGTCAAATCTATGTAGATTTGTTCAAATAAGAGGAAAAAAAAAGACAAAAAAAGAAACATCATCCAGAAATTGGTTACATACTTGGGTGTTAGTTGAAATCTGCAGGGCTATGATCACTTTCATAGTGATGCTCTTTTCACAGTTCTGCCTTAGAACTTCTTGCACCAAGCATGTGATCAGCTAACATATGGGATTGTGGCAATTTGTCCTTCTTCCACCTTTTATCTCATTCTGCTTTGTAGCTCATTTGTTCTATTTCCATCCTTAACTTCTGGTTTCCAGCATTACTTCAATGAATAAACATATGCCAGTTCTCCCCCCTCATTTTTTTTTTACTTTACTTATATTTACTTTTATTTTTATCCTGCTGCTGATTAGTCATCACCATTGATTCCTGCACTGAAAGACTGCAAACTGTATCCTCTTCATCAGCGAACAGTTTCTGTAGATTATAATTATCTTGTGACTACGCAGCACATCTTCATGTTTGCATAGTGATAAGCACACTGTCCACACACACATTTAATAGCTCGAATGAGCAGCTTTCTCCTTCAGCAATGCTTTTTCATGGAGCGCTCCCTAAAGGAGGAAGATCTCCAAGACCACAAAAGCTTGTGAAAATATTGATTC